AGAAATAATAAAACGATTCTTTTTTTTTTTTTTTTAAACGGATTTCAATCATTTGCGCTCGTTTCGAATTCGATAGAATGATAGACGCGTGAAGCGAAGCGTCGAATTTAGAAGGATATCTATCTTCTCCATCTATTTATCTCGTATTGATTTTGACATTTCCTACTCTCCAAAGGGTTGTTTTTAACCCTTAACGAATGGTGAAATTGTACATTTTTTCCCCTTTTTTTCAAATTAAAAATATATCTCGATTCGAATCGTGATTTGAAAAAAATTGGTAAGGTTGTTCGAATCGTACGAACATCTACAATGTTGATAACGTTTTGAAACGGAACGTGACTGGCGTTTCAAGGATAACATCGCCTCTTTCGACTGCATAATTAATCACGAACCTATATATATATATATATTTTTTCTTCTTCTAATTATTATTTATCGTTTAATTTATATAATTATAATCTATTACATTTATGCATCCAATCCAACAATTTCATTCCTTCCTTCCTTCCTTCCTCTACCGGACCTCGATACCAACTTTTTTCCTCTCATCTCGAACGTTCCTTTGCAATCCTTCCAACAATCGTTTCAATCATTCCGATATATATATATATATATATATCCCCGATCGACGAGCTCGAAAAATTACAATTCGTAACACGACTCCTTTCAACTCCTCTTCAGAAGCGAAAACCCTGAAAACCGTGAAAACAATCCTTTTCCTCTCGTGTATAATTCAATCGCGGTTTTCCTCCTCGACTCAAGTGCTCAAAAAAAAAAAAAAAAAAAAAGAAAAATTGCCGCTTCTATTTCGATCCATTGTGTTCTTTCCGCGAAACTGCACACATCCGATGGATCCCCGTGTGCACGGGTGCAAAGTGTATCAGCCGCGACGCGGAATTATTCATCGCGACCACTTTGACGAGTGCGCGTGGTGGAACGTGTAATCGAAGGAGGAGGAGGAGGAGGAGGAGGAGAAGAAGAAGAATCGTACGATTGGCAAGGATCGAAGAGGCGAAGCCGCCGCCGGAGGAGTCGAATTGAAAACCCACGTGCCACGGCGCAACGCTTGCCCCGTGCTCGGAATAACGATCGGGCCACATTTGCGGGAACGACGCCTGTGGCTGCCTCGTTGCGAATGCCGTGTATGATCGGCCGCGACGAGCCCTGCCCGCAAATGCTCCATACCCTTCCATCCCCCCTTGCCTCGAGCGGAGGAGAGGAGAGCAAGAGTTTTCGCTAGATTCGAGATGAATCTTACGCCACCAATTTTTCCCACCCCGTATGAAAAGATGGAATATTATTCGTCCATGGATGGATCGAATTTTTCGAGGAATTTTTGAAACGACTCGTTTCAACGGGATGCTGAGAATTATACTTTTTTTGA